TTGGTTGTTTATTTATTTATTTACATTTATTTTAGTTTATTTGGAAGGTTAGAAATATTTCCCTCATTTTTCATGGTCATTTGTTTTATATAGGGCTGCAATATGTGTTGGATTGTTTGTTTGTTTTATATTAATATAATTTTGTTTGAACCGATTCTTTATTGCCTCTATTAAAAACTTTAAAAAAAAATTCTGATGGTAAATTATTCTATACAGTAGCTCTTTTTTTTAGCACCTGAGAACTGGTGACTGGTGCATTGTCGTCTACAGTACATATGGTAAGATTTCCGTTCGAAACACTTTAGTATAATGAATCAAATTGAACAATCAAGTCTATTGCATATAAAATATAAATTTGTCACATTACTAATTTACTGGTATTGTTATTTTTTATATATATCGTTTTTAATGAGACTTTCTGCATTTCTGCAAAGTTAATTTTGAGTAGCAGTCTAGTCTTTCTCACCAGCCCAAAGCGTTTAATGGTGATGAGGTCATAGGTTTTGATAGTTTAAGTCGTTTTTTGGCAGAAGGAAGTGTATACGTAAAGGAATCCTTTGACTGTGGTGGTGCTGTATGTGTCTGGACTTGTTTGTGAACTGTACAGCATTGTATCCTTGGGGCTGTTTGCAGTAACCTTTGTCAGTCAAGCTTGAAAGACACTACAGAGGTCGAGAGGAAACAGACAATAACGGGGCGAGGACGTGTTATCACATGACCCTGACCCAGAGCTACAAACCGCTTGGGCTTAAGCCAGGCTTTTAACCTCACAGCCGGGTCAGGAAATTAACCAGCTTTATTTGAACCTGCGTTTGACTTCCTGAATGTTGTAGACTAGATAAAAATGCATCTTGCAAGGAGGATCTGAAAGCAATCACCTTCTGTTTATCATTTTGTCTTTCTTTTACTCTTTTTCATAGAGTATATATATATATAAAATTATAATTAAATATATTTAAAACTGCTTATTGTTTTATATTGTGGTAGTATTTCTTATACTGTATGATTAATGCTACTCACAATTATCAGCTAAATTTAATCTGTTGTGAAAAATCTTTCTATGTTTAATTTATATATGTATGTGTGATACACACACACACACATATATATGTATATTACAATTTAAAATGTTTATATTTGGGATAGTATTTGTCATACAGTTTGTTTAATTTTACATATTTATAATTAAAAAAAATCATTGCTTTACATTTGTAAAAATGATTGCAGAAGTCATTGATTTGTAGTCATTGTAAACAAATATTTTTAATGCAAAATTTAAATGAGTACTTTTTTTGTGGTTAAACATTCAGACATTTCTTTGTGAGAATCACTAATAATCAATAATACCAAAAAAATAAAAGTATATCATAGAAACCTGATATTACAGAAGACTTTAAAAGTTTAATCCCTAATGGGGTAAATCTTTTGCCTACAGTTTTTAATTTAGTGTAACAAACCCAGAAGTGGTTTCACATCAGCATTTCCCTTCCTGTGTTTTCCCTCCAGTTTGTCCGAAGTGGTGCGGACAGCGAGCGTGCACGGATTCGGGCGAGTGCTGCCACCCGCAGTGCCTGGGCAGCTGCACTGTGCACGACAACGACAGGACCTGCGCCGCCTGCCAGCACTACTATCACGAGGGCCGCTGCGTGGAGGACTGTCCCCTCGGTACGTACAAGTTTGAGGGCTGGCGCTGCATCACCAAGGACTTCTGCTCCAAGGTCCACCTGCCTGATTACGACCGCTTCGTCATCCATGGAGGAGAGTGTATGTCCGACTGCCCACCCGGCTTCACGCGTGATGAGAACCGCAGGTATCAACTTCTTAACTTTTCATATTTTGAAAGTGTGATTGATGAATGGTAGTAATTTTAGCAAATTTTTGTGAATGAAACAGTGAAGAATCAATGTACATTTGTGATTGTGAGTTCTTATTTCTGTTTTAGATGACTTGAAATGTGTTCAGTTGTATTTCCGTGTGTTTTAGATTAATTGTCCAGCATGACATTCAAGTGTTGTATTTTGAGTATATCCTGAATATCCTGCGTTGACAAAGAATTTAAAAAAAATCTGTTATCTTTTTGTTTATTTAAGAAATTATTATTTCAGTTAGCAAATAAATCATTAAGCATATAGTGTAAAGGTTGGGGTCAGCAGAATTTTGAAATAAAAATAAATACATAAATAATACTTTTATTCAGCAAGGACACATTAAATTGATCAAAACTGACAGTGAAGACGTGCATATGTTACTAAAGATTTCTATTTCAAATCAATGCTGTTTCTATCCATCAAAAATCCTATTAGAGTGTCCATAAAAATATTATGCAGCTGTTTTCAGCATTAATAATTACAAGAAATGTTTCTTGAGAAGCAAAATAGCATATTAGAATGATTTCTGAAGGATCATGTGACACTGAAGACTGGAGTTATGATGCTGAAATTCAGCTTTGCATCACAGGAATAAATTAGATTTTAAAGTATAATAAAATAGAAAAGTTATTTTAAATTGTAATTATTTCATCGTATTACTTACTGTTTGTATAGTATTTTTAGTTAATAAATGCAGTCAAAAATATTTTTAAACATCTTAAAAATGTGTAGAATTCTGCTGATTTTATGGGGTGCTGTGTGTACATTAATGAGGAAAAAAAATTAACTTAAATGATTTTAGCAAATGGCTGCAATATAACAAAGAGTGAAAAATTTAAGGGGGTCTGAATACTTTCCGTACCCACTGTATATATTGCCATGTCTGTCAACAAAGTTTTTTTTGTTTTTTTCTTTTCAGTAATATTGCCATTGTTTTATTTTGCTTTATTTGAAATTCAGTTATATTTTACAGCTTTCATTATTTATTTTCATTGTTTCACCCCCTATTTTAAAGATGTGTGATATCTGATAAATAGACTTTTTGTTATCTACAGAATTTAGTGTGAAAATACTGCCGATTTAAACTCGCCATCATTTACAAAGGTCGACACATCCTCTAGCACTTCAGTTCAAATATATTATTAAGCCCCATTCACACCAAGAACGATAACTATAAAGATAATGATATTAGCGTCCACACCAGCGAACGATATTGTCTGTTTATTCTAAGCGCACGCGCGTCTGCCGCTTTAAATTCTCGAGCTCATTACAGCAGGATGGATTCTGATTGGCTGTCAATTTTTTATCGTTCATCAGCTGAAGAAAAATCGTTTTGAAAGTGATTCCAACGATATCGTTTCTCTTTGTCTTTATCGTTATAGTTGTGGTGTGGACTCTGCTATTCTTTAATATCGAGAACGATTTTTAGAACTTTATCCTTATCGTTATCTTTATAGTTATCGTCCTTGGTGTGAACGGGCCTTTAGTCTATTTCACAGCTCTCTGAATACTTTACAAATAAATCCACTCAGTATTTAAAATAAAAGTGTTCAGATCCTGTATACCTACTAAAGCAATCAGACTAGCCTAACGAAATATGTTGCCTAGTTAAACTCAAAAATCACACTTCTGATTACCTCAGAACAAACCAATCACGTTCCTTTGTCAGAAAGAGCGAAAAAACTTCAGCTGCACTCAGACTCTAGCTTTCACCAAGCTGAAGGTCACATGATAAGGTGAAAGTGAGATGTTTGGTTCATCCGTGTTGGTTTTGTGGTGATCTTCCTTTTGTCCCTGTGTGTCTAGCAGCATGTTCTGCACTGCCTGTGGCGGCCTGTGTGACAAGATCTGTGATGAAAAGGTCATTGACTCGGTGGACGCTGCTCAGTCCCTCAAGGGCTGCACCGTTATTAAAGGCAACCTGCATATCAACATCCGCCGCGGCAGTGAGTACCTGCGGCACAGCAATTCCTCAATTAGCACCGGAGCGCTCGCTGCACACCTGCTCGCTAACACACTCTCTTTTCCTCTGTCTCTCTAGCTAACATAGCCTCGGAGTTGGAGACCTTCCTGGGACTCATCAAGACAGTGACAGGATACATTAAGATACGTTCATCACATGCCCTGAGCTCTCTCTCCTTCCTCAAGAGCCTGAGGCACATCTATGGAGAGGAACTATGGGAAGAGTAAGATCTGAATTTGACACATTCCAACAGTTTATCTATGATGTTTAATGGATCGTTATGAGGGTCGGATTGCGAACCAATGAGATTTTGTGGTGGGCGGGGCTACCCAGTGCAACAACACATCATCATTTCAAAACAAGTTCCGAATTTGAACCGTGGAATCGGTTTTGGGAGTTAGTTTTCAATCATGTATTTAACTGTTTATGTTATTGAATGTTTGACATTTAGGAATGAAAGTAGGAGTTACATGTTCAAGAATGTGATTTTTCCATGTTATACAGATTTCCATATTTTCTGACTAGAGAAGTATGACCCATGTAAATCGCGTATATCTGAAAAAAGTCTGTTTATATATTTCTTTACTAATTTGTAAACAATAATAATAATTGTTGTAATAATAATAATTAAACTACATTATTATATTATTGTGTATGTTATTATATTATATTATTACATTTATTATTATATTATATAACAACAAATATTAATATTATTACATAACAATAATAATAATTATGATATTTAATAATGTTATTGTTATAATATTTTCATATAACAGTAATAATTATTATTATGTAATAATAATAATGGTGATAATAATAATTATAATAATTACATATGACAAAAATACTGTTGTATTTTTTTTTTTACTTTAATCGTTTTATTTAGAGTTCCTCAATGCAAGTTGTTGCTGCTGTTGTTGTAGTTATTATTATTATTGTATACCAATAATGTTGAATAATTATTTATTTTTATTTTCAAACATTTTATTTAATTTTAAAATTTAGTTCCTCAATACACTTAATTTATTAGTTTTTTAAAATAAATTATTATTATTATTATTATTATTATATTGTCTTATTGAATGAGGAAAAACAGTTTTTTCTTCTTTTTTTCTGTCCTTAGCTGATCACATGCCTGTTGTTGGTTATAATGGTGTGTGAATCAGCGAAATTACGTACAGAATTAACGTCAAACTTTTCCTTAAACAGAATGGGTCCTGTGCGTCATAGAAGAAATGTGTAATTTAATTCAATCCCTGTTTGTTTACTGTTATCCCATATTCAAGACAGATCAAAACAGCCCTCTCTGTGCCATGTTGTTACGAAAGACTAAATTGAGCTCTGGGAACGCTTTTGGAGACAAATATAAACAAACAAGCCCTCCATCCACATCTTCAACATTTAGAAGTCCGTTCCGTTAACATTCCCTTAAACGTACATCGCCAAACAAACGTCAGGGCTGTAATATACCCGTCTGATAAATACAACAATTAGAGCATATGTATTAGACTGGCTTGACAGCGTCTTTAAACCAGTTAATGTAAGTGTGTTTGTGTGTGTGTTTGTTTGTATAAAGTGACTCGACATGTGTCAGACTTAAGCTTTCAGGTGTGCTGTAGGGTTAAAAGAAATGCTTGCTCTTAATGCATGTGAAGTGCTTACATTCCAAACGCAGCTTTTACTGAAGCTGTTTATCTTTTATGATCATTTACATCAATGCTTGTGAATCATCAGCGTATATGTCAAGTAATGGCCTTAAACGTACTGCAGCTTCATATACACAGAGTTCAGGTATTTATGAAAGTGACAGTTGCACTGTACATCTGAATTTACTGCAGATTTTTTTGTGTGTGTGTGTACAAAACATACCAATGGTTAATATAGAGATGAAGGTGTGTATTGACTAATGATTCACAATTTGTGACTATCTGTTTTCGTCTCTTGCCACAGTAGTCGCTTGCAATAGGTGAACTATATGTTCCGGTCCAGAGAATGCATACCGATTAAAAAGACAGGGTTCCCACGATCATGGAAAAAAAAAAAAAAATGTAATACTTTTTATAAGCATATTCATTTATTAAGCATATTAAAGTGATCAAAAGTGACAGTAAAGACAATTTACAAAAAATGTGTATTTCAAAGAAACGCTGTTCTTTTGGACTTTCTATTCATCAGAGAATCCTGAAAAATAAATATCACAACACAAGTTTCCACAAAAATATTATTCACCACAACGGGTTTTTTTTTTTGTTTTACATTAAAAATTATTAAAAAAAATGTTTCTTGAGCAGCAAATCAGTATATTAGAATTATTTCTGAAGGATCATGTGACACTGAAGACTGGAGTAATGATGCTGAAAATTTAGCTTTGCATCACAGGAATAAATCACATTTTAAATATTATATTTAAATATTGTATTATTTCAATATTTCACAATATTACTGTTCTTAGTTTAGTTATGGTCAAATAACCTTAAGGAAAATCTAACCATCACCATTATTTTGAATGCTAGTGTACACACATTATGCAATTTTGCTTTCTAAGTATACAGTGTTTTAAGAACATTTTAATATTTTTTGTTGCTGATTAACAATAGGATTTTTAGGGTTGATTGAAATCTAGACAAGTATCTCAATGGTTGTAGACTCAAACCCCAGAGGGGATGATTCATGACTTTCCATAAGTTTCTCCAAGGGGATTTACTCTGTAGTAAACATTTGAGTTGCTAAGTGAAGAACATTTTTTTTCTTTCCAGCACCCTCAATGCCTGTCGATGTTCGTGCATACTCTAATTCTTCATCAAAGCTGGTGGTGCGGTGGTCTCCACCTGTCTTCCCCAACGGAAACAACACCTACTACCTGCTCCGCTGGAAGCAGCAGGGCGAGGACCGTGAGCTCTACCAGCACAACTACTGCTCCAAAGGTCTGGTCCAAACTACACCCTCAAACTGAGCACCATTTACCCAACAGAAATTCAGACTTTTGACCATGGTATCCAGTGTCTAGTGAAAATAGATCAAATTCTGTTTGAAAACTCAAAATGCGTAAAGCTTTGCCATAATAAAATAATGTGCACCATATTCAAGCCATTCAGCTCTGTCTGTATATTATTAGCGCTGCTCTGAAAGCCTCCTATTACTCATACATTAATATAAATCGCTTGCTTTTCTGTGGTGCTTTCACAATTTATATTTTGAGCATATTAAAATAATACCAGATTGTGTCACTAAAGGAGAAATGTAACCATGTTTTTGTTGTTTCTTTACAGAACTAAAGATCCCAGTAAGGATTTCAGCCACGGGTTTGACAGAAATCGAGGACACCAAACCCACCAATACTGAAACAGGGGGGCGGGACAAAGTTCCCTGTTGTCCATGCCCTAAAACAGAGGAGGATCTGAAGCGAATCGAGGAAGACATCTACTACCGCAAAGCCTTTGAGAATTTCCTCCACAATGCCATATTCACCCCCAGGTAAACTTAAGAGTTTGACCAGGAATATGATTATTACGCTCTCCAAAAATAACAACAGATTGTCAGTTTTTACATCACTGTTTAAACATTATTTTTAAAAGAAGTCTGCATTTATTTATGGAAGAAAAAAAAAAGTAACTGAGTTTTTATCTCACAATTCGGACTTTTTTTTCTCTTGCAATTGCAAGTTTACATCTTAAAATTGTAACTTTTTTCCTAAGAATTGTGAGATGTAGTCTCTCAATTCAGACTTTTTTTCTCGCAATTCTAAATTTGTCTCACAATTCTGTATTTTTTCTCTCACAATTGTGAGTTTACATCTCATAATTCTGAGAAAAAAGTCAGAATTGTGGGATAACAAGTTGCAATGAACTTTTTTTATTTTTTTATTCAGTGGTGGAAACATACTCGGTTACTAACGTAACCTCGGTTCCCTGAGATACAGGAACGAGTACTGCGTCTTGCTTAAGACGCATATGGGAAAAAAGCCTTTTTTCTCCTAAACTGAAGCCTTTTCATACATGCAGTGAAACTGCACGGCCATTGGTTAGTGCAGTGCTTAAAAAACTAACCAATAGCGTTTTGACGAAGCCCGCCAAAGCCTGCCAGAATGGGCGGGGCATCTGGCTATATAAGCGGGCGCTCGCCACAGGATTCTCAGGTTTACTTTGACTGAAGTGACGACAGAGTCATGCAGCTACATAGCACGGAAAACAACGCAGTACTTGTTCCCGTATCTCAGGGAACCAAGGTTGCGTTAGTAACCGAGTACGTTCCCTTTCGATACTTCACTCGTACTGCGTCTTGCTTAAGATGCATATGGGAACATAGTACAATCACGCCGTGTTAATGTAGTGGAACGACTAAAGGTATAAACTTCCATAAGCAACCAATGCTCATAGAGAAGTCAACAATAACCCAAGGCTAAGACGGGCTGAGCTCTCTAGGTCACACCTGGCCTGGTTAATCGTTCCAGAGTATTCCCGTAACTTCGACACCCAGGGGTCGAGAGCTAACAGGTGAAACAATGTCAGAGAACTTTGGCGTGATATGGCCAAGGGCTCTCTGCCATATCCGTTTACGCAGCACGTGCCACTTCAAGCGAAAAGGACCCTGGCCTGTAAGGCCGGGACTTCCAAGTTATAAAACCTTGCGAATGTGGACGGCGAGGCCTAGCCGGCTGCCTCACAGATATCCGCAATGGACACACCACTGGACCATGCCCACGACGAGGCGATGCCTCTAGTCGAGTGGGCCCGTACTCCAATGGGGCATTGGAGGCCCAAGGAAGAGTACGCTAGCGAGATGGAGTCTACTATCCATCTAGAGAGTCTTTGCCTCATAACTGGAAGCCCTTTGGTGTGGTTACCGAAGCTGACAAAGAGTTGTTCCGATCGCCTATAGGGAGCGGAACACTCAATATAGATTCTCAAAGCTCTGATGGGGTAGAGCAGAGATAGCTCTCTGTCCTCTTCAGATGGAGGAAGCACGGAGAGCGTAATGACCTGTGCTCTGAACGGAGTAGAGAGCACTTTAGGTACGTAACCGTGCCTTGATTTCAGGATGACTTCGTGTCGTTAGGCCCAAATTCCAGGCAGGTAGGGTTAATAGAGAGCGCCTGCAGGTCCCCTATTCGCTTTACTGATGCCAGTGCTAGAAGCAGGGCAGTCTTCAGCGATAGCGACCTAATGTTGGCAGACTGTAGAGGCTCGAAAGCGGGGCACTTCAAGGCCCTCAGCACAGTGGGCAGGTCCCATGAAGGGACGGTAGGGGGACGAAGCGGATTCAGCCTCCTAGCACCCCTCAGGAAGCGGATGACCGCGCTATTTCTGCCCACCGATTGACACTTGATAGGGGCATGCGAGGCCGCTATAGCCGCCACATAGACTTTGAGTGTGGATGGTGAACGACCCTTATCCAGCAGCTCTTGTAGAAATGCCGAGGATGCCATAATGTCCCGTTCGCTTGAGAGAGGAGATCCTGTCTCAGTGGAACAGGCCAATGGGCTGCTATCAGTAGCGGAGTTAGCTCCGATAGCCACAGCTGATTCATCCAAAGGGGGGCCACCAGGAGAACCCTGTGTTCTTGTTCCCTCACTCGCCTGATTAGCTGTGGGATCAGAGCGGTCGGGGGAAAAGCATAGAGAATGAGGTTGGGCCAATCATGGGCCAACGCGTCCCTGGTCTTTGAGAAATAAATTGGGCAGTGAGAGTTGTCTTCTGAGGCAAAGAGGGCCACCTCAGCCTCGCCGAAGATCTCCCAGATTTTCTGAACCGTCTGCGGATGGAGCATCCACTCCCCTGAGGGGACATTGCTCCTTGACAACATGTCCGCTCCCTGGTTAAATTTGGTATATGCGCTGCCCTCAGCGAGTGCAGGTTGGGTTGAGCCCACTCTAAGAAGCGCTCTACCAGCATGAAGAGGCGCTTCGCATGAAGCAGCGCTTTGAAGAGAGGCCTCCCTGGCGATTTATGTAGGACACAACCGACATGTTTTCCGATCGGATTAGCACATGGTGCCCCTTCAGGACTGGCAGGAAGAACTGACAGGCTCGACATACTGCTAGCATTTCCAGGCAGTTGATGTGGAAGCCTTTTTCCGCCTTCGACCAGTGGCCGAAGGTCGGTATGCCCTCGCACAGCGCCCCCCAACCTGAGTTGTCACAACTGTCCTTCTGTGAACCATTCGCATGGCCATGCCCTGTTACATCCAGCAGGAGTTCTTCCAGGGGGTCAGGGCCGATACACAGGCCTGACTCACCCTGATATGCAGACGTCTGTGACACCACGCATGGGATGGAACCTGTGGTTTCAACCAGCGCTGAAGAGGGCGCATACGCAGCAGACCCAACTGTAGCACTGGAGATGCTGCCGCCATGAGGCCCAGCATCCTTTGAAATGCTTTGAGAGGGTGAGTGGTACCAATCTCGAAGGAGGTCGCCAGCCTCCGTATGGCCAGAGCTCTTTCTGGCATGACTACAGCTTTCATTTGGGCTGAGTCGAAAATTGTTCCCAGGAACAAAATTCACTGGCTGGGAAGCAACGAGCTCTTGGCAAAATTGACCCTGAGTCCCAGGCACTCCAGGTGGCTTAGGAGGAGGGCTCTGTGAGATAATAATTCTGCCTCCGACTGGGCCAGGACGAGCCAGTTGTCGAGGTAATTGATAATACGGATTCCCATCTGTCTTAGAGGGGAGAGAGCCGCATCCATGCACTTCGTAAAAGTGCGGGGGACCAGGGACAGCCTGAAGGGAAGGAGCGTATATTGATAAGCCACTCCCTCGAAGGCGAATCTCAAGAATGGCCTGTGACGAGGGGCTATCTGGATGTGAAAGTATGCATCCTTCAGGTCCAGAGAAAAGAACCAGTCTCCCGAGTGAATTTGCGCGAGGATCTGTTTCAGTGTAATCATCATTCAGGTGTCTGAGATCGAGGATGGGTCGGAGGCCACCATCTCTCTTGGGGACGAGGAAGTAACGGCTGTAAAAGCCTGACTCGCTCTGGGCTGGAGGAACCCTTTCCATGGCTACTTTTGCCAGCAATTTCATCACCTCTGAGCGCAGGACGTGAGCGTCCTTGCTCTGCACTGAACTTGGGACCACGCTGCTGAAGCGCGGGGGTCTTCGAGCAAATTGGAGTGAATATCCTCGCTTTATTATCCCCATAACCCATCTCGACACTCCGGGGATGGCCTGCCAGGCCTCGGCCCGCGTGACAAGGGGTTGAATTAACTCAGGTGACTGGCCGCACAGGGGGGCAAAACACTTGTGAGTGTTGGAAGAGGAAGTTTGCTCTCTTTTTTATATTGTTTGTGTTTTATAATTTTTTTCCGCTATCACAGCGGTTGAATGCTTGGCCACATGAACAGACCCATTGTTTACACAAAACACATTTCCCTCTGCACCCGGAGCTGAACGGGGTGTCAAGAGGTGTAAGAGAGGCTGCTTGAGGGGCAGTCCGGCCGTGGCGAGATCTGACCCCATCCTCTTCCTGTCTCGTAGATCAGGATGAAGCCTGAGGCGCCGGGTCCAACAAAATCTTAGGTCGGGGTCCCTGGCGCTTAGGAGGAGGGTAGCGTTTTGCCGAGCGAGAGCGTCCCCGCGTCTGCTGTGCTTTAGCGGGCTGAACAGTGGAGGCGGCAGGTGCTGGTTTTGCGGCCTGCTCAGTCGGCGCAGATTTAGGGCGAGCTGAGGCAGCAGCGGAGCTGGAGCGCTTAGGCAAGAAATGTCGCATAGCCTGGGATGATTTCTGTGCCTCTGTGAAGCGTTCAGCGAATCCTTCCACCGCCGGGCCGAAAAGACATTTGGGAGAGACTGGAGCATCGAGGAAGGGGATCTTATCCGCGTCCTTAATCTCCATCAGCATCAACCATAAATGGCGCTCGAGCACCACAAGGCTGGCCATCAATCTCCCGATCGCCTGGGCAGTGGTTTTGGTGGCGCGTAGAGCCAGGTCAGTCGCGCTCCTCAGATCTCTGAGGGTAGCGGGGTCCAGACCAGACTCGGAGGATGCGAGGATTTTGGCCTGGAAGACCTGGAGGACTGCCATAGAATGAAGCGCCGAAGCCGTCTGTCCAGCTGAGGTGTAGGCGCGTCCAGCGAGAGCTGAAGTGGTCCTACACGGCTTAGACGGGTGAGTGGCCTTCGCTCTCCAGCCGATGGCCGTGGGCGGGCAGAAATGCGTGGCCACTGACTCATCTAGGGGAGGTGCTTTATCGTACCCTTTTTTTTCAGCGCCGTCTATGGAAGTGAGGTGGATGAAGAAGCAGTACAGAGGTGGGCGGAGTAGGGAGCACGCCACGATCTGGTGAGCTTGTCGTGGACCTCCGGGAAAAACAGAGAAGCCCGCTGACGAAGGGCCTGGTGGCGCCCCGGCAGGAACCATTCATCCAGACAGCTGCGAGAGGGCTCCTCTGGCGGAGACCACTCTAAACCCAGCTCTTCAACCGCTTTGGAGAGGATACGGAGAAGCTCGGCATCCATCCCGTCTTTAGTGGTGTGGATGA